AATTCATGGTTGGTTGACTCCATTCCTTTGAGCCTGAGATGAGGCAAAACATCATGGAGGAAGGGTAAAATAGAAGAGAGCTGTTCTACTCATGGCAGCCAGGAAACAGAGAGAGAACGAAAGGAAAGAAAGAGGCCAGGGACAAGATATAGCCCCCAATGTTACTCCCACCCAGTGACTGACTTCCTCTAACCACACCCCACCTGCCTATATTTTCCACCTTCTCTCAATAGTCCAGTCAAACCACTAATCTATCAAATGGATTAATCTACTAATGAGTTAGAGTCCTCATGATTCAATCACTTCCCAAAATCCCCACCTGCAGGATCTGGATGTTGATGCATTGGGGACCAAGTCTTCAACACAACACGCTCTTGGGGAATATTCTACATCCAAACCRTAACATTATGTAATGCTTAAAGTAAGGTATCACTGCTTATCACATTTTTATGATGAAAACATTCAAAATCCTTTCCTCTAATTCTTTGAAATATATGTACGTACACAATTATTATCTATAGTCACCCTACTATGCAATAGCACCCCAGAGCTTCTTGCTTCTTCTACCTGTTCCTTGGTCCCCAGAAGTCATCTTCTCTCTGTCTACTTCCATGTTCTTTATTCAATGAAGAAACCCAAGTTTATCATCCAGAATGGAAAGAGGAAGCTCATGGGGGAGAGGCTGCTTCAGAATCAGACGGCTCTGAGTTTAGCTTCTGGCCGTACCACTCACCAGCCCTGCACACGTGACTTAACTTTCTCAGCCTCAGTTTCCTCAACTGTGAAATAAGAATAGTAGCCCAGCAAGGTAGTTGGTAGTAACTCTGTGCTTTCTGGGAGGTATTAGTCCAAGAATTTTGTATTTGTGCTTTAATCCTTTCCACCTTTCAAATAGGTACCATGGTTATAATTATGTATTACAATAGTACAATATTTTTTTCATAATCATCATAATGGGGTACTAGCATTATCCCCTTTGTATGGATGAAAAACTGAGGCAGGATAAGTCTACTAATTTGTTCAAGGTTGCAGGGACCCTCATGCAATGTGGCTCCATCTCTGAGCCCTTAACCCCTCCTGTGAGCATCATAAAGTCATGTCAATGCCAGGATGAAGGACAAGGTAATGATTCAATCTGAATCCCATCCTGTGGTTTCTAGTGAACTCCTTTTTCTCTACCTCCATTTTCATCAATGAAATCTATAAGCCCATTCATTAGATGTTGTGGCTTGTGAACCCTGTTATGTAGACACAAAGTAAGTGGAAAGGGTAAATAGTTAGTAGCTACAAGAGAAAATTCTGGAAGAGAATGAGACTATTATGATCATACCAGCCATTTATTAATCAAAATACAAAATTTTTTCCCATTTTGTTTTCTTTTTTAAGATGCTGGGGATCAAACCCAGGGCCTATGCTAGGCAAGTGCTGTACCACTGAGCTATTACCCCCCAACCCCCATATTCTTAATTTGATATTTATATAATATACTTCCCTGTGTATAAAAGTCTGAAGAGATCTTTTAACCGATTTAATGATTATTTACTGCTAATTATACATTTTTTCTTTGGACACAGATATTTCATACTAAATTAATATTTATTATGTATTTACCTCTTACCCTAACTCATGCTTATATTTCACAAGTGCTATCTCATTGACTCCTCACAACAACCCCATGAGCAAGGAGCCATAGCTGCCCTTGTTCTACAGAGCAACAAGAAAGGTAGCTGGGCACAGTGGCACATGCCTGTAATCCCAGTGGCTCAGAAGGCTGAGACAGGAGGACTGCAAGTTTTTAGAGAAGGAAAAGTTTATCTGGCTCATGGTTTCAGAGGTCTCAGTCCATTCCTTGGATCTCAAGGTGAGGCAGAACCTCATGGCAGAACAGTGTGGAGGAGGAAAGCAACTCAGGACATGACCAGGAAGCAGAGAGATGGAGGCTTCACTCACCAGATACAGTATAAACCCCAAAGGCACACCTTCTATGACTGTCCTCCAACTAAACCCTGCCTGTCTACAGCTACCACCTAGTTAATCCATATCACTGGATCAACTACTGATTAGGTTGCAACTCCCATAATCTAATCACTTCACCTCCAAATGCTTCTGCATCATCTCACACATAAAATGATGCATACAGCACGTCCAAACTATAATATATCTTTTGTGTCCATTTCTGCCATGAAGCCATTATTATTTCAAAAAAGCTAAGAATACTTATCAGAACAGCTAGGTGTTCCATGAAATGACATTGGAAGTTGGCCTTGGCAGTAGCTTGGGGCTAATAAACTTTCCAGCCATCCAGCCATGCTGGATGGTGAACCTCAGCCTCACTCCAGCCCCCATCTGTTCTTGCCTGATCCCCTGCCACTGTCTCCCCCTGGTCTCTCCATTTTCTGTCTTGCCCCTTCCACCTGCAGGGCATTCTCTACCCAGCAGCTGATGTGATCATCTTAAATAGAAATGTAATTGTGACCAGGCACCGTGGCATATGCCTATAATCCCGGCAGCTCATGAGGCTGAGGCAGGAGAATCTCGAGTTCAAAGTCAACCTCAGCAAAAGTGAGGCCCTAAGCAACTCAGTGAGACCCTGTCTCTAAATAAAATACAGGATAGGGCTGAGGATGTGGCTCAGTGTTTGAGTGCTTCTGAGTCCTGAGTTCAATCCCCAGTACCTCCCCTGCAAAAACCGTTCCATCCTTAACTAAAATGAGTGTATATTGATTTACCCTTTTAGAAAAATCAGTCCAGCTACTGTGTAATGAATGCAGCATAGGGGCAAGATTAAGGGGGAAAGAAAGGAGGCCTCTGTCATGGTCCACATGAGGATGGTGTGACTTGACTGGGACTCGCATTGGGGCTGGAAAGAGGTGGGATATACTTTGGAAGGAAAGCACAAAAAGCACGGTGATGGACTGTATGTTTATAGATGGCATTTTAAAGTCTCATCAAAATATTTATAAAGATTGCTCTGGTTTCTCAAAAGCATAGCACTCAAAATCAAATGAAATATAACAAACAGCCCATAACAAACAGCCATCAACCACTTACCCACTATCAGGAACCCATAGGATTTGAGAAGGAAAAACAAGACTCTATGCCAGGAATTTAGAAAGAAGGACCAGGCTTCCTGCCCTCAAAGAGCTAGCAGTCCCAGAGGGACAATAAATATGATGAAATCATAGCAGAGGAATAATTGTGACCGCAGAATTATCCACAAGCCCCAGAGGTGATGACATGGAGGTGACGGTTTAAATTCAGGAAAAATATAAGCCCTAGCATGAGGACCAGCAAGATGGCAGAGTTACCAGATGTGAAACATTCTGTGTGGTCAGGAATCCCAGATAATACAGCCCAGGCAAATTGAGTCTGGCGAAATGAGCAGGTGTACAAAATGAAGAGTATTTTGTCCCAGGGCAAGATGCTAGACCTGATCCCTCTAAGCTGAAGTCCCCCAAGTATTTGTGCCACCCACAATACATAAGATCATTTCAGTGACATGCAGACTAGCATGCATTAAATAAGTACTTAGGCATTCTAATGTCTGCTATATGGTGTGTCGAGTCTATGCCATAAAATTTCCCTTCAAAATAAATCAATTCATGTTAGGTAAGTCAATTTAAAGAAAAAGCATCAAGTAAATCATACAATAGGTAGACAGATGTGGGCCAAGCCATGAGAGTGGAAAATGAGAGGCCATCATTTGGGGCTCTTGCATGTGGACAGGGGAGACCCACTGAGAGAATTTGCACAGGGAATTGGTGTAAGAGAATTTGCAGATGGTGGGGTTCATCTCATGGTCAGGAACAGGATGGAAATCCTTCCTGTGTGCCTGAAACTAATTAATAGGATTATTTTGTTGTCCACAGAAGCAAAAATCATGGATAGGGACTAGAATCGTGGAAATAGGAAGTGGAAGATTGGGCCCTGGAGAAACTTTCCAGCAGATAGAATTTTCCAGAAGGTAGAAAATCCATTGCACTTGGAAACTGAGGAATAAGCATGAGGAAACAAAGGGACTCGGGATGACTCCCAGGTTTCTGTCTTGATGTTCTGAGTAGATTTTGCAGGGGCATGGGGTGGGGGGCAAGCAGGGAGGGTCTAAGAGCCCCTAAAACAAATCAGACAGTCAAAATTTTATTTAGGTGCATTCTTCCTTATGTTCCAAAAATGGAAATTCAGTCTGCTTCTAGGTGAATGAAGGTTTAGAAGTCGTCCAGTAGGTGTGTGTTAGCAGGTGATGTCAGTTGTGCAACTGGAGAATTTGGATGTATCTGAGTGTCACCAGACCTCTCTCCTCCCTTCAACCTGGAGAGTCTGCCAAGGGCCAGGCTCACCTCCTTTATCACTTCCAGGTCAATGTGCAGGGTCCACATGCCCAATGGGGAATTGGTAATAGTGATCTGAAAATCTCCAGAGTACTTTGAGCTATGCCTCTATAGTTTTTAACATTGCTTCTTATCTCACTTTTCTATATAAAGACAAATTTCCACCAACAGAAGAACATTTGGAAAAGGGAGATGCCCTTCGTTGGTATGGAACTTCCTTCCTGTAATATGCCAGAATTAGAGCAAACGATAGCAAGGGAAGGTTTTCCTGAAGGACGCCTGGCAAGAGGTGACACAGGCGGAATTGCGAGATTTTGCACTCCACCCCACACACACACCCCAGCCTTGCACAATATCTTTCAGGAAATTCCCTACCTAAAAGACTTTTTAGCACATAAACACATTAAGTCACCAGGTGGTTTTCCAAGGTGCTTTCTGGGATCAGTCAATGCATCTGATTCAAGTCTGATGTTGGGACACAGCTCCTCCTGTCCATGGAAGTGAACCCGGCCTGCTGCTCCTTGTTCTCTACTATCTAGAGCTCCTAAATCTGCATTCTGCTCCTGGGCTCCTGCATTTCCGGTGAAGGAGCACCAGGCTTCCTGGTAAAGTGTGTTCTCCTGTGCTCTCACTCACACATTAATGCGGCTCTGGTCTTTCTCTTTCCCCTAGGTATTTATGGGCCATCGGTAAGAATGTCTGGAAGAGATGGAAGAAAAGGTTTTTTGTGTTGGTGCAGGTAACTCTTTAACTCAGTCTTAAGAGCTATCCACAATAAAGATGTGCGAGGAAGAATGAATGCTTTTTCACTGAGGTGTAGCTTACATACAGGACACAAAGCTCAAACATTGTGCTAGATAAATTCTTACAGATGATGTATCCATGTAAACACCATTCAAAGAAGGAAACAGAACATTTCTAATACCTAGAAGGCTCCCTCTTGCTCTTTTTCCTTTTTGTATCACTTTAACATTTAAAAAAAAAATCAAGGAATGCCTGTTATTTTTTTTTTCATTCTAACAATACAGAAGTATATCAAATAAATAAGGAGAGAAGGCCTCACTCTGCCCAGTTCTCTGGCAGGGATGGAGGAGGACCCCAGGAAGGAGCCAACATGTGTCTGATTGAGACAGCAGGGACACTGACATTGTCTTCAAGTAATTTGGTATTTCTAAAAGCCCTGAGGTAAGCATGATGAGCAAGATCAAAATTTAGTTGGACTTTTTGCGTCTATTTCATTATTTAATAGATTCGATTTGGAGTTATCTGGAGGAGAATACTTTACTCTCTTGGTGAGGGGGCTTTCAAAAGTCTTCAGCAATGCCCCCATAAGCATGTTTGATAAAATATTTTTTTCCAGATCAAAGCTAACCGAAGTCTTCCTGTGTCTCCACAACTTATTCATACCAGCTATTATAGACATTTTTCCACATTTGCACATATAGCTCTGGCTCCATCCGCATTTAGTTCTGGATCCGTACCCTGTAAAATTTTCCCTTTTTGATGGACTTCTGGGCTTTCTCAATGTGGGTTATTATTAACAATGCCGTCCTGATATCCCAGCAGCTTGGGAGGCTGAGGCAGGAAGATCTYGAGATCAAAGCCAGCCTCAGCAACTTAGCGAGGCCCTAAGCAACTCAGTGAGACCCTGTCTCTAAAGAAAATCTGAAAAAGGATGGGGATGTGGATCCGTGGTTAAGCACACCTGGGTTCAATCTCTAGTACCAAAAAAAAGAACAATTCTATGAGGAACACCTGTGCATCTATAGCTACTGAGGCAGATGCATATATTGCTATTAATGATACATGGTAATATAAAAAGACTATCTTGGTTCTCTTGAGTGTTGTTTCTAAGACAGAAGTTTTTCAGAAATAGTAATGGTGTATCCTTGAAAAGCCTTTTTWAAAAAATTATTTTTTGTATCAGGATCTTTTAGTTACAAAAGAATTCGCCATCATTTATTTCTAATTTGCAGACTCCCCCAGAGTATATACACTACCATTTGGTTTGCAAACTTTTAATGTAAGCTGTACTTGAGCCAGCTTGTAATTCAGTGACAAGTGGGGCTCGCTGGGTTACTTGGCTAGCATTGAGAATACTACCAATCATGAAATCTCACTATAAAGCAGCACCCTTCTAGGTCTAAGTGACCTTGAAAGTTCCACCAACCCTGAACTTCCACTCTTCTACTACTCAAATACCTGCTCTTCCACTAAAGCAAAATGTAGCTCTCTGCTTATAAGCAAGATGCCATCTTTGCTTTCATAATTGCTACAAGGTAAAGCAAAACCATAAAGTAAATTAGCCAGAAGGAAAATTTGGGAATGGTCCCCATCCCCCAAAATAATCCTTAATTAAGCCACGGAAGACATTCCATTCTGAGATGCRTTCCATCAGTCTGTCAACTTGCCAATACTTATTGAGCCCCTGCTTTGTGCAGGGCACATTGAGAGGACATAGACAAGAATTAAGAAGTCTGGTCTCACTTCCAGAAAGGCCATCGGTTAGGGTTTTTAATATACAAACAGCAGAAATAGACTCAGCTAATTAAGTTTTTTTAAAAAAAAGAAAAGAAATGAATGTACTAGAAGGGTTGCAGGTGGCACCCAGGATTCTTGAAAAAGCTGAAGTCCAGGATGTCACGAGTGTGGTCCTAGGTCAAATGGGTTCTGACCATTTTCTATTCTGCATCACTCCACTGAAGGGTCAAATTCCAGAGAGAATCAGATTGATCCAGTGTGGGTCATGCACCTGACTTTTAGCAAGGGGAAGGGGTTGCATTTTGACTGATGATCCTAGTGGGCTATTTCCAGTGCAAACTGAGGATGGCCAGAAATGGGCCCTGGGCAGGCAAAAACGGCCAATGTCTGCTTTAAAGACAGCACGGTGTAAATAGGGAGACAGGCCATGGAAAGAAGCAGTGCTGGATGGGGTGATTCTTGCCCCTCGGTGCTTCCTGTACTTTTGGCAAAGCACCTTCTCTTAGATCCCTTGGGAGGGTGCCTGGCCTCCCCTAGTAGGAGTTGTGCTATTTCAAGACCAGTTCTGTTTCTGATTCACCTCTGGCCTTCCCTTTGCCACCACACCTATACACACTTCCTAGCCAGTGTCTACTATGGGCATCYGGGACCTGTTTGGAGGAACAGGAAGAAACAGAGAGAAGAAGAACTCAGGCAATACCTGGCTGGTTCTGAGAAAAGACAGAGCACGTGGCCTGGACAGTGGGTGAGACATCTTCCCAGAGGAACTGGACAAGTGACCCTTGTCCCATGGCATAGATCTCCCCTCCACCCTGAGGCCACCAGCAAATGCTCCACGGGATGCGTGACTTTCCACCAGGAATCTTCCCAATGACAAAGTGCTTAGAAGACTTCGCTGATCTCTTACTTTGGAAGAGACTTTAGAGGGGGAAACTCTTTAGGAAAACAGCAAGAGGAAATGGGCCAAAAATCTCAGCGGAGCCSTGTCTGTGCAATCTGTGCTGGACCGGGAAGGAGAGAAGGATTTTTTTTTTTTAGGCTGTGCAACTGGAACACAGATGTTTTAGGCCCTTCACACTGAGCCTTCCTCCAAGAGAAGATGAGAATCACACAGTAGCTCCAAAGCAAGCTGTGTGCTCACTTCTGAAAATCATAAAAGGGCATCTAAGGCTCGGCGGTTTTCCTAGAAAGGCAGAAGAGATGAATTTCAGGATTTTGTGAGGTTTTTTTCATGCAAGTCAGATTCTGATTCATTTTGAAGAGCCATTGAGGTGTGCTGGGTGCCTCCATCCCCCAGGTTAAATATCCCATTTCAACCTACATCAAATTCCTCCCTTACACCCTCAGGGACCTGCAGAGGTGAAATGACAGCCCCATCATCACCAAGGTAATGGGGAGCCTGTATGAGAACTCAGGTCTTCTGTCTCCATCTCTGCCCTATTTATTTATTGCAACAATGCCTAAATCCAATTTTGGTGGCCTACCTAAAAAATAGCGTTTGTATAATTTGGGGGATTTTTCCATTTTTTTTCTTCTCCCCAGTTTATGTGATCCCATTGAAAAGCACTGTATCAAAATGATAAAGAGGAAAAAAACCCACTCCCTTTAAAATAACCTCAGTTGACAACAGGGCTGCAGGAGACAAGTTCAAGGTCACCCATCCTGGCCCAATTCAGAGGAAGCAAAAATGGGCCAGGTTGTTTAAAAAATGAATGGCCGTCCAGGCAGTGAATATAGGCCCTCCAATAGCTGCATGCAGTGAAGAATATCATTTGTTGGACATGACAATGATTTCTAGTTTTGTTTTGTTTTGTTTTTAGCCACACTGACACTCAAAATGCTAAAGTGAAACTAGAAGACCTAGTCTGGTCAAATCTGTGAGAAGGTGTGGGAGCTGGGAAGGGAGCAGACTCCCCTAAATCTGCCCTGGTCTCCCAGGCAGCCTCAGTGGGATATGTTGGGGGGACATTATTTAAAAAAAAAACATGAAATAGAATAGTTATTGACCCAAATGACTCTCTGTATCTTTGTTCCTCTCAGTTCAGATGTTATGTCTTATGCAATCTATTTTATAGAGTTGGCAACCCATAATTCCCAAAATACTTGTGATTTTATACATTAAATTTAATACATGGGCTGGGGTTGTGGCTCACAGGTGGAGCACTCACCTAGCATGTGTGAGGCACTGGGTTCGATCCTCAGCACCACATAAAGTAAAATAAAGATACTGTGTCCACCAAAATAAAAAAAATAAATATTAATAAAAAATTTAATACAGAGGAAATGGTTTRAAAACCCTAAAAGAAAGAGAGGACATCCAATATCAGTATCCCCCAGCCAACAGTCTACTTTAGTGTTTCTGACACACAAGTAGTTAAATCCTCCCTACATGAGATCCCTGCCTAATTCAAATACTAGGGGAAGAAAATGATGGATGATAAAGAGGTATCCTTCTAGCCAGGGACAAAGGACATCATCAGAGGGGTGTTGAACCCAAGCATGTACAAGGCCCTGGATTCGATCCCCAACACTACCAAAAACTCATACCCATTTAAAGATAAGGAAACTGTGTCACAGCAAAATTATGTGGACTGTCTGGGGTTACACAGCTTGTAGAAACTTAATGGGTCTGAAAATCAATTCCAGTCTGTACAGCTCCAAAAATGTGCCTCCTCTACCATGCCAGATGGCCTTCTTGACGTCAGTCAGGAGTCTGGGATTGACATGTTATAATCCTTTGTTCACAACCACATCACGCTACAAATGGTCCTTAGTCCCCAGCAGTTGGGTGCCTCATACCATAAAAATTTTGTCCATCCTCAAATCTTGGTTCATTCAGCTACCTTATGAATACCTTGTCCAGCCACCAAGCAGGCCATATCCTCAGGTCTCACAGTACCTTACCAGAGCTTAAATTATACTACAGAGCCACAGTAACAAAAACAGCATGGTATTGTCACCAAAACAGATACATAGACCAATAGTACAAAAGACACAGAAACAAACCCACATAAATACAGTTATCTCATACCAGAAAAAGGTACCAAAACTTACATTGGAGAAAAAATAGCCTCTTTAACAAATGGTGCCAGGGAAACTGGAAATGCAWATGTAGCAAAATGAAATTCAACCCCTATCTCTAACCCTGCACAAAACTCAACTCAAAGTGGGTCAAAGAGGTAAGCACTAGAACAGAGTCTGCACCTAATAGAAGAAAAAGTAGACCCAAATTTCCACCATGTTGGCTTAGGAACTAAT